AACCCAGGAGTATGTAGGGCTGGTCACCACCCCCCAACCCAGGAGTATGTAGAGCTGGTCACCATCCCCCAACCCAGGAGTATGTAGCGCTGGTCACCATCCCCCAACCCAGGAGTATGTAGGGCTGGTCACCACCCCCCAACCCAGGAGTATGTAGAGCTGGTCACCACCCCCCAACCAGGAGTATGTACAGCTGGTCACCACCACCCAACCCAGGAGTATGTAGCGCTGGTCACCACCCCCCAACCCAGGAGTATGTAGCGCTGGTCACCACCCCCAACCCAGGAGTATGTACAGCTGGTCACCACCCCCCAACCCAGGAGTATGTAGTGCTGGTCACCACCCCCCAACCCAGGAGTATGTATAGCTGGTCACCACCCCCCAACCCAGGAGTATGTAGAGCTGGTCACGACCCCCCAACTCAGGAGTATGTAGAGCTGGCCCCTCCTGCTGCCCATTGTATACTACAGGGGCTAAGTTAAGATTATGAAATACTTATTATTTCAGGTGATGCTCTGCAGGGAGCTCCTGGTGTCCCAGAATTCCAGAGGTCAAGAGGAGAGTCAAGAATGGAAGCATCATCATCTGGCCAGAGCGATGGCACTACTCCAAATGACCGTCTGCGCTGGGGGCATCTAAATCTCCCGAGAGCGGCCAGCATTGATATTATGCGATACATCCATATAGATAATAAAGCAATGATTTCATTAACAGTTTTTAAACAATTTACAGCCTTCAGTATTTTCCCACTCTGGCTTCCTCCCAGAGACATGCAGTTACACTAATTAACAACTATAAATTGTTCATAGTACATGATTGTGTATGTGCGTGAGTATTTGTCCCCGAAAATCTGTCCAGAGTAGCCCACTGCTTTGTGCTGTGCCTGGTCTGGACTAGCACACGAGCTTGATCAGGATAAGCATTTGGAAGATGGATGAATGGAGGTAGCAAGTAATTAAGCTTTAATGTATTGAAGCAACAAGACTATTGATATTGCATTTAATACCGCTGTTCCAAATATTATTCAAATGCTTAGATTACTTTGGAGTTTCTATATATGAAAGGCTGTTTCGAACTGCCAGTTTCCATCTGGGAAATTGCACGATACTGGTTTGGCAAACAGTAACACCTACGTGTGACGTGGAGAGCACTTTCAAAGAGCAAACAGCTTCCAGCGAGGAGCCGGGCGGAGAGGAGATGGGCGCAGCCTGGAGGAGGGCCATGTTCTCCGCTTAATGGTGGCAGACTTTTTCACAAGAGTGGGGGTGTGGAACAAAAGGCTGGGGGAGGAATGGAGGAAAATGGGGGATTTGGGAGAGAAGAGGGTTGCGAGGTCACCTCATACAGGGAGCGTACCGTGGGCAGTCGTTTTAGGGGTGCGTTTTACCCTCCACTGTGTCAACAACGCGCTAATGTAACGAGCATGCTTGGAAACTGATGCGCTTACATGTGCTGTGCTTTTTTTACACCCTGTGCATTTTGCACATGTTGTGCGTTTTGCATGGTTTGTGCTTTTTTTCCGCATGCTGTACTTTTCTCGCATGCTGTGCTTTTTGTGCACTGTTCCTTTTGCGCATGCGGTGCTTTTCATGTGTGCTGTGCATTTTGCATGCTCCACGCTCTGTGCTGTTCGCACACTGTGCTTTTCACCTGTGCTGTGTGTTTTGTGTGCGCGGTGCATTTTGTGTGCTGTGCACTTTCCTCATGCACTGTGCTTTTCACGCACGCTGTGCATTTCGTGCTATGTGCTTTGCTCGCGTGCTGTGCTTTTCACACACACTGCTTTTCATGTGTACTGTGCTTTTTGTGCGTGCTGTGTTTTGCACACTGTGTTTTTTGCACATCCTGTGCATTATGCACGCTGCGCCTGCTGTGTTTTTCACGTGCGCTGTGCCTTTCGTGTCTGCTGTGCTCTTCATGCGTGCTGTGCTTTTCACACTCACTGCTTTTCATGTGTACTGTGCTTTTTGTGCACTGTTCCTTTTGCGCATGCGGTGCTTTTCATGTGTGCTGTGCACTTTCCTCATGCCATCCTCATTTCACGCACGCTGTGCATTTCGTGCTATGTGCTTTGCTCGCGTGCTGTGCTTTTCACACACACTGCTTTTCATGTGTACTGTGCTTTTTGTGCGTG